ACAAGAAAAAGAAAACTCATGGTCATAATTGGTCTTGTACCTACTTCAGGAAACACTTTGAGATGGTAACAAAGTAAATGAGGATAAAGGACATTCTTAAACACATGCAAAACTCTTTTCTGAGAAAGGACTGCATATGTGCCCCCTTCSGAACTAAAGGCACTCACTTCAGGAATAGCAAACAAGTCAAAGATTGAACTAACAGGGAAATCTTCTCAGTTTAAAGACTTGCAGATCTCTGAGAAGCCTCCACAGACCATTAGATTGCCAAAAAAACCCACGTATAGACATTTCTACTGCCAATATTTACATATTTGGGGCACACTTCACAGCTTTCCAGCATAGTTAGTACTTATGACTTGCTTTCAAAACACTAGAAATCTATTACACAAGATGCAATAATCTCAGGACGCAGAACATCGTGCACAACCGTTTTCTAATTATTACAGAAATAGATGATTGATTTTAACTTTTTGATACTTCTTTTCCTTATCAATATTATACATTTAAAATTCTTCTTTTGGTAGCCCCATAAATTAYTCACACTTCAATTTATTTCAAACAATCAGATCGTTCGCTCATTCAGAATACCAAATACCAGAGACTCGATTATATTCTGCTATCATCAGAAAATAACCCACTGATCAGTTAAACAATTAACTTCTGCTGAAATAGCACTGTTTCTTTRCAGCTCTTGGGTTATCCAACCCCAAATCTTGTCTGTATTTTGTATACTCAAGTGACACCTAGAGGTTGTCCCTGCATGTAACAGACTTTACCTTTTGCTGAAAGACTATGACAAACACCTTGACTCATTGTTCATCATTCTGGAATTCTTGCGAGATTTTCAGAATGCATCTCATGTTACAAACTTGCTCCCTGTACACTACAATATGTCACCTTTGTTCATGCCCCTTTTCATTTCTCACACATACCCCATGTAAGATAATGGGGAAGCCTTCTCCATACAAGCCCCAGCAACTGAAAAAGCAGGTGAACACAGCAAGCACCTACTATCTAATCCACCGAAATACTCAGTGCATGCATAATTACTGTTGTCTTTTTCTACTGTCTTGCTTTTCTCCTTCTAGCAGAATAGGAATTGCACAGTTGTCTCTGCCTTTGGGTGGGATGTGCTGTTTGGAGAAGGATTTATTTTCTTTGGTCTGTTCCAAAGCCACCAAAGCACAAAAAAAAAAAAAAAACCTACCCTATTATTCTGGGGGCTGTACAGATTGCCAGGCTGGATTCTTTAGGTGCTGCTCCTGACTTTCATTGCCTTTGAAATAAAGAGTAAAGTCCAAATACTGTAAAAAAATTTCACTGTCAGGAAACAGAACAAAACAGATTTGTGACACRGAGACTGGAATATATGTTGCCACATCTTTAGCCATAATAGAAGTGTGATTATCCATGTCAGGAACTGCTTAATATCAGCAGATATTTTGATGTGCATGTTATGCAAAAAGCACATCAGAAAGTACAAAAGTACATCCGAAGAAATGTAAGACATAGGACCTTGTAAGAAGACACATGGGATGAAACAGTCTTCTTTAAATCAGCATGTCAAATCTGGGCTCACAGTAGCTTTCTATATGGAATATTCTCCAGAATAGTGTTTTTCTGCTGTCCCTTTATCTGAGTGATTTCCATATCACACCTAAAATATCACACAATCCAAGGYTGGTATTTTTTTGCAGACTCTCTCTTAGTGACAGGTATCAAGCATGGCTGGTACTAAAAAGGTAGCAAATACATCATATTAAAATCCCCAAAAGCTCTCATCAGCTAAAGCAGGTAAAAGTGAAAGCACAGCAGAGTTCATTGGCAAGGTTCATTCTGGTTATTAGGTGGCAAAAGCACACAGAGAAAACTGTGTGCTTTTTCAGAAAACTGAAATCAACCAGTACAAAGCTGAACTCAACCTCAAAAGCATCTATGCAGAGACAGGGGGAAGGATCAGGACTGGATTAAAAGTAATAAGGGCAATCCTCCTGTTGAGTCACAAGGTTCAAAGTGGACTCCCTAGCCAAACTTTGCCCCAGACCGAGCCAAAGCGGATGTAAAAGGCACCTATGTGTGAATGCAATGCAAAGCAAAGCAAAGCAAAGTAAATCAAATGTTCTGCCCCAACTCAAGCTCCTGGAGGTTTTGCCTAGCCCGGCCCAGACACAGGGATTTTGGAATGGGATGGGCAGGGACAGGACAGGTGTGCAGGGATGGAGGTCCCAAGGCCTCGTTACTCACCTCGGCAGGGTGAGCAGTCCTGAACCTCCCTCCTGGCCTTTCCTGGGTCCTGCTTCCCTTGTATTGCCAGGCAGTGCTCAGGACTAAAGCCAMAACCAAACCTACTGGTCTGCTGTCACTCAGAATTAAAAAAGCAAAAGCTTAGGTGATGGACTGTAGTAAAATAATAAAACTAATTATTCCTAATAATTCCTCCCTGAGGACTGTGTTAATGAAAGGATTATATAAATTAACAATGTCCTCAGTTCTAACTCTTTGTCATGCCTCTATTCTGGGGGACAGCATAGAGAATGGATGCACRAATTTTCTGGCCAAACTGGGAACAGAATGTTTTTCCAAAGCAAAGGCGGAGATGAATGTGTGCCCAAGATGGGAGCTTGTGCTGTGTCTAAGCTCCTATATTTTAAAGGTATAAGTAAAGCAAGTGAGTAATAAGGATCAGTTCCAGACATCCACTGAGATGATTTATATACACAACAGCCAGTCTGGAGTTTACTCCTTGCTGAGCAATGTTTGGCTGCAAAACCATCTTGACAGCTGAAGTAAAAGCTGGATGTCCTCTTTGGTATCCTAAGAGGGAAGCCCAGAAGCTCTGAATGCTTTCTTTCATGGACATRCTTTGTCCTGCCTCAGAAATGCCTAAGTGTTAGGGTATTTGCAGAACTAAACTTGAGATTGTGCCATTTTCAAATTTCAAAGTAAAACTCTCTCCATCTTGCTGAGCAGACTCATATTTTATCCTCCTCCAGCATCTGAAACAGCTTTTCTATCTGAAATGTACGTATTTCCTATAACGGGCAAAACGAAGTCTCTTACCATTATGCAATTTTGAGTTGGAGTTAACACATTRAAAAGAATAAAGCTGTTCACAAGATGTAAGAGGTTTCCCTTGGCAGCAGATCTTTTCATTTAACCTTTTCAGTTTTATTCAGTGTTTCTGTTCACACAGATGCAGGGAGGCCCACAGATGGTTCCAGTGCTGTTGGAATACACCCTCCTGTCCTGGCTGCGTTCCCCTATGCTTTGAGACCCACAGAGTTCTGGTAAATTCTCTGCAACCCTTTGCTCTCCAGTCTGTCGAGGCACTCCTACCCTTCTGCAGGAGAGATTTACCCAGACTCACAGCGATTGTCTCCCTTAATGGTTCACACCAAAGGCATGGGAGTTACAGACATGGAAACCAGGCTTTGAACTTGCAACACACTGTGGTTACCTACTTTGGGGCAGCTGCCTGAGGGGTTGTCTTCTGTCCTGTTTTTATCTTTGCAGGGCCTCAGTGAGGAATGTTCCTCCAAGAAAGAGGCAGAAGAATCCATATTGGGCACTAAAGAAAGGATGCGTAATGGGCRCTAGCTACAGAGCAGCTGGTGTGTCCTCACAGTTTACCACAAGTAACTTGTTCTTGAGCCCTTATTTTCACTTTAATTTATCTTTATTGCAGGAAAAGTGCATTTCCACAGAGCAACAGTCAGGAACAGGCATTTTACTTTRCATTCACATCCTCCCTCCTTTTCTTTACATAGACAAGGCCTGAAGCTCCCTGCTCGGCTTTGCCAGRAAAAATGCTCTGTTCCTGGTTCATGACCTTAGTTTCTCTGGTAGTGGGCTTGGAGAAGGGGCAGGAAGGGGAGGTAGATAAACTTTCAGAAAAAGGCTGACAGCTAACTGCCACAAGGRCAGCATGAAGGATGAAATCTCTTCCTCTAAGAATTATTGAGCACCTCAACCCTGCTGCCTCATTTCCTACACAACATACATCATGTCCAACAGATAATACAGTCTTTGTACATTGCTGGCTTCAGCCCACCTTTCTGCCGGTGCTGGCAGTCTCATCCGAGCACGTGTTGGGAGCTTTGCTTCATTTTCAGTGTTTTGAGTTTGGCTTTTCACTGTCTCATCTGCACGACGCTTCATATCTGAGAGCCAAGTAGCAGCTCAGAGTCATATCCTTGGGAGGATAAGGCCCAAGTTCTGGAGCTCACAGCTACAAAACTTTGGTATGAAGTTCATGCAACTGGAAAGAAATATCCATGGACATTATTCCATCAGCTTTCCTAGGGATCCTCTTTTCCACTGGGCTTCACATACACATTTCTTCTGACTAGACTGCAGGCCCATCAGGGCTTCTCTCTTGCTTGCAGACCACCTGGCAGGGTACAAGTATTGGAGCACTGGGGGAGCTGTTTGCTAAAGCCCTTGCTCACTGCAGYTTCCCAGGGTCACCCCAGGACAGCTGCGGTGCTCACAGATTTGTGTGCAAATAGCTGACTCAGAATCAGTGTCTGAGCAGGGAAGCATAACAAGCAATGAAAAGCAGACTATAGCTCTTTAAACACTTGCACGAAAGCAAGTGTTTATTATTACAGCTCCTTAGCAAAGTCCCAAAATTCTCATGTGGGCTCAGGCCACTTTCCCAGCCTATGGATGGGTCTGCCACAACTCAGGATATCTCATGGAGGCCCTGCTCAACCAAGTCTGACCCAGTGACACATTGCAGACCCCATTCCTATGAGCGGAAAGGTGCCCCAAAGGCAATGTGGTGAAGTTGCAGGTGAAGCACTGAGCTTAGCTGCCCCAATCACTATCCTTAAACCATCACAAACACTGCTCTGATAAGGACAAAGACACCCTTAGGCTTTTAAAATACGAAGTACTGAATCTGCATGCATGGCACTCAAGATGTCCATGTGGGAATTGACTTACGCTAATCAGCATTTCTACCCTGGCATCAGTAAACAGAAAACACAAGCATTTAATAGTCTCCATTCATCAGCATCATATATTTGGCTTTTTTCAATATTTATTTATTTATGCCCAATAGAATATAAAATACGAATGCTKCAAAGTTCAGAAAATTCTTGCACCAGCCTCAGCTCAGCCTCATCTGCAATCACCAAAGCATCAAGAAATCATGRTATCATGCTAAGATATCAGAAAAAAACTTATTTTGGTTTTCACYTGACTGTTGCATCACAGACATACCAGAAAGATGAAAGGAATTGTAAAGAAACATGTTTCCTTCTAGTTCTCATTKGGTTTGCTAGTTGACAGAGTGAACAAGAGCTTTCAGTGTCTTATCATGTGATGGCTATTTTCACRAAAGAGGTAAGGAGGGGCAAGCGCCACATATTCTTACACCTTCAGTCTTTTTTAACGTTATTAGTCTCGACAATGATTAATCTGTGAAATGGACATCAGAGAAGTAACAGCTAAAGGCCTGAATGTTTTAGATGCAAAATTGCCTTGACAGTGATGTAGCAGGACATTTTTTTAAAAAGCTGTATMCTTCAGCACAATGACATGAAAGCCTGTGGGTTTTACAGTTAAAAAGTAACTGCCACATGCCCTGCACTGGAAAAAGGAGAGATATCGAGAGCACTTCCACAATCTTAGCAAGTTTTGATCCTTTCTAGAGCAAAACAAAGTACTCTTTATTTTGCTCAGTTTGAAAGGTACCAATTATGACACTCTGATAAATAAGATTTTTCCCACTCACATTAGAATCACAATATAAGAAAATCGTTTGGGTTTGAACRGACTGCTAAAGGAATACTAAAAATCTGAGGCTCAAGTGTAGCGGATGATACACGATGGGAAAATTGCTAGGATAGTAACTATTAGGATTAATTTACCTTTTAAAAAACTAGAAAGCAAATTCAATTTCTTTTAATGCTATAGGAAAAGAGCATTACTTACATCATACTTAAAYATGAGGAAACATAAAACTTGTTTGCCTGCACCATCTGATGTCTGCTCTGTTGTGCACCATGATGTTTAATTCTGATTCTCTGGGCWTTACACACGTGTGCTCAGCTGTGCACATACCAAATCACACAGCAGTSTGCAGGTTATTACCCCATAGTTTCTGCACAGATTGCAACTTCTGGCTCAGAATATAAAACATGTAGGTTGCTAAGCAAAGGCAACTTAAGCCATTTTCACATCTAGTTGTTTATTCCATTGCTCAATTATGCTAGCGCCATGTGTGGTCAAGCTATAAACCTGATGGGAGAAGTGAAACATTAAATGTAACCTCAGGGCTTTGCAGGAGGTTTACAAAGCTTAACTTTGCAAATTTAATTCAAACTTCGTTTCAGCAAGTGATTTACGTTGCAGCTCCACGAGCACCAAAATCAGCATTACCTGCAAGGCATCAGACTCTAAGAGTTTCTAAGTCAGCTGTCCAGCAGAAAAAAACACAGGGCAACCACGCCTCTCTTGAAACTAAGTAAACACTCTTGTAATTTACCTGCTTAAAAATTATAATTTCACATATATGACCTCAAAATGGATTGGTTTTGGTGGCTTACAATTAGTTTGAACTGTCATTCATCCCTAATTAGAGTATCATTTATTTGGACTAAAATTGTTTTTCATAAAAACAAGGAGGCTGAGTAGGCGTATCTGAGGTGGGCTAATCCAGCTGTTTGATTATGGTTTCAAAATAAATTCCAGTTGTGAACTATTTGTGGCAGAGACTATTCTGGTGTTGCAAGGGGGAGTCCAACATATTTTGTGATTTTTGCAATAAAAAGTAATTACTAAGTTGGCATGAAAATGAGTTAGAAAAATGTTGAAGTTCTGAACCCAAGAAAAAGTGTTATTCTAGTTCTGTTTTAGAGCAGTCAGAAGCATTCAGGTATGTCATCATCCTTAAACATTTCTTTGTGATAGCATGGTATGATGGCTCAGTTTCAAAAGGCAACAAAGAATATAGTGTACAGTATTAAATTTATAGGGGTTGTTTTTCCAAATTAAATATGATTAAAACTAACAAAGAGATGAATATAGAAGGAAATTGGCTAATAGAAAAGGAACAAAGGAACATTAATGAGATTTTCAAACAAGATTGTCTTCTAACTTGCAGCAATGTGCCACTGTTTAATCTATTTAAAAGTAATTAAGTTCTTTGGAGTGATTAAGCTACCACCAGGGCAGTAGAAAGAGCATAGAGCAGGCATTTATGGATGTATTGTAASAACAGCACTAAAATAAAATACTGCATGATTAAATTTTAACAACCTAGAAACAACCCCTTTGTGAACCATGAAACCAAACAGGTCTTGTTGGGGAAAGCGGAAGGATGATGTTTGTAGGGTTTTTTTTAATTTTACTCCAGAAAATCTATGGAGTCAGTGGAGCAACATCACAGAACCAACAGACCTCCGATAAGGATTCAGAAACCAGTGTTGCTTCTAAAAGTTCAGGTTTAAAAAGGAATTATCTGATGTGCTGAAGTAAAATCCGATGCTAAAAGAGACTACAAATATTATCATCTACAAAAGCTTAATATATGCAAATGATCTTAAGAAATAACTGAGTTTTATGCTGAACATGACTAAAATGAAAGAATTGGTACAACTTTTACAGTTTACAGAAAGCAGCTCAATATTGTAATTACTGCACTGTGCAAATGTTAAATAATGTATCATCATTCTGAGAAAACAGAAAAAAAACCAAAGGTATTCCAAACAATAGTGATGGTATTATGCTAGGACTCTCATACTGTTCTATACACACATTGGGAAAAAAATGCAATAGACACTTTGAACTACCCCACCGAAAAAACTTAACGACTTTTTCACAGATGCTCTTCAAATTACCTGCAGGCAAATTAGCTTGCAGGTAAACTGAAAACCAGTTTTCTACATATCCCACTTATTTACTGGAAATTGAAGTAGTTCTCCAGAAAACTTGCAAGTAAAATTTATTTTGGATCACTTTGCCCATGCCCTCATCTTACTATGTGCAACTAAGTCTGAAAAATGCCATCTCTGAATTTTTCAGAAGATGGAAGCACTTACTGGAGATCATCAATTTCAGAAAATAATCACTGATAAGCTTGCATTGTGTTCTAACAAGACCACAAAACATTGGACTTTCCCCTTCAATGTTAATACAAACACACGTCAGAAACTACAGCATTTTATTTCTCCAGGCAACATTATCTCACAGTTTTGGACTGAGGTCTTTCCATCCATTAGAACTCAAAATTTATTTTTACTGTAAGTGAAAAGAAAGCCTATTTTAAATGACAAATCAGAATCAATATCTCTTCAGTATGCAATCTAAAATTGCACTTCGAAGCATTATACTTCTAAGTACTAATGAAACCCTTATATTCTTATTCCATATTAACAGAGCCCAGCCCAATATTAATATCTTTGTTTGATATAATATAGAAAAAAAATGTAAATGCTAGGTTACTAGAAAACGTAAGGGGGAAAAAAGAAGTAGCTAAGTTGTATCGGGAAAACTTTAAAGTACAGGAAAGAGGAAGATGAGGCAAGAAAATGATGTTTGAAGAAATCCCATTTGGAGCTTTAAAGTACCAGAGAAACTATATCACAAACCACYCCACACAATGCTTGAGAAATCAAACCCTTTGAGTACCAACAAATTTCCTCTCTCTGCCCTCAAAACCGAGTTTTGTAAGCAAGTATAAATCCGGCCGGCCGGAAAGATGCAGTCTGGGAGTATTCGAGACTTGCATCTCGGATGGTGACATCGAATCATTCAATACCGACTACCAGAACTCCTCTGGGAACAAAAAGCTCTTAGGTAGGATATTACCAAATCAAACACTAGGAATGTCCAGTAACTTTTATTATTTTCCACTTGAAAAAATGCGAACGACTGCACAGTCGAGAGTCCAGAAGCAGGCATGTTGCGAGACTTCTCCCAGTCCTTCGCGGGAACCACACAGGAGAGGGGACCGGGACCAGCAGCCCGGAGGGTCAGGACTCGTCGGGCTTGTCGGCGGGCGGCCCGCAGGGCTGCAGCATCTTCTCCATCAGGTTGAAGCGGACGCGAGCCTTGCTCTCGTTCTCGGCGATGGCGAAGTAGTTGAGCAGGTCAAAGTGGCCCATGTAGGAGCAGTACGAGTCGCGGTGCTGGTTCACCAGCCATTCCCACTTGGTGGTGTCGGCGTGCCCCGTGCCGATGTACTTGGACTGCAGGTGCTCGAGCTGGCTGTGGATGGTGTAGCGGTCTGTCATGGCGCGGCGGGCG